TAGTAATATATTGTAAGGATAATTTAATACGGCGTTGGAAAGCCAAGGCTCATCTGCCTCAACATAGAGACTATCAACTGGAGAGGTTCTAAATGATCCAAGACAAAGTCTTAGACCTTGGTGGTGAACAGAATCAAGTAATTTAAGGTTGCTTTTGCAGGTTCTCGCCATATACGATCGAACCATAATCAAGTTTAGATCGTACTAATGCTCGGGTATAAGCCGAAGGAGCCGTGAGTTTGATCCCTCTCCACTTTGAGTTGGAAACAACTTTTAACAAATCGAGTGCCTTCAGGCATTTAGTTTTAAGTGTTTTAATATGTGGTAGAAACGTTAGGTGTGAGTAAAAAAATAATACCTAAGAACTTGGCCTCCTTCACAACTTTGATAGGAGTGCCATTTAGAGATATTTCCGGTCTTTAAGCGGCTTATATTTTCTACAAAAGTGTAGACAATTAGTTTTGGACTTGGAAAATTTAAAACCGCTTTCAAGACACCATTTATGTATTTTATTTAAACACAGCTGCAGTTGCCGCTTCAATAGTATGCATATTCTTACGACGACAAGAAATATTAAAATCATCCACAAAAGTGATCCATCTATTGAATCATTTAAAACCTTGGATAAACTGTTAATTTTGATGCTAAAAGTGTGACAGACAAAATACTGCCTTGTGGGACACCCTGATCCTGATTATAATGGTCAGACAGGGTAGAACCCACTCGACTTGAAATTGCCTGTCAGCTAAAAACTTGATATAAATTGAGGCAAACGGCCTCTCAATCCAAAATCGTGTAAATCTCTTTAAAATACCATGTTTCCATGTAGTGTCATATGCTTTTTCTAAATCAAAAAGATTGACACTGCATGTTGTTTATTAATTATGGCATTTTTACAAAAGATTCTAAACGCACTAAATGATCGATGGTACTACTGCTTTACGGAAACCACATTGTATATCTGTTATTAAGTTATTGGTTTCCAGGTACCAAACAAGTCGATTATTTATCATGCGTTCCATGGTCTTGCAAACACAGCTAGTTAGTGAAATTGGCCTATAATTGGAAGGATCAGTATGATCACGCCCAGGTTTAGGGATGGGCACAATGATAGCATCACGCCACGACGAAGGGAAATTTCCAGTTGTCCAAATATCATCAAAAATATGTAACAGTGTCTCCAAACATCACTCTGGCAAGTGCTTCAGGAGTTGATAATGTATGTTATCAGCTCCAGAAGCAGTATCGTGAGCCTGATCAAGAGCAGTATGAAGCTCATGTGTCGAAAAGGTTTCATTGTAGTCTTCCCCATTATCTGAATTAAAATTAATAGCTTTCTTTTCTTGCTGTTTTTGATATTTTTGGAATTCAGGTACATAATTTGCCGAGGAAGAATGTGAAAATCCAGTGAATGGCTCTTGAGATAGCTTAAGGTGCAGGTAAAACGTAAAAGTGACCTTGAAATGAAGGTCAAGGTCACCAAATCTGACTGGCACCTTCCTGTTACTGTGATGAACCTAGGTACCAAATATGAAAAGAATCCAGTCAACAGTTCTTAAGATATTCCACTTCGCACGTACGGGCGTACAGACGGAGTCTAATACTATATCCCCCGCTTCGCTCTAAACGCGCGGCGGGGGATAAAAATGGGTAGGTAAGGCAGATTTTATTTTTATTTTTTAATATCTTTTTTCATGATTTCCTATACATGGTTAGTCGAAAACTTGAAATGCTTGCAGCTGAGACAGATTTCGGAAGTCTGGTGGCTTTATACATGCGAATTTGCCAGTGCTAAAAACATAACAAATTAGAGTTGAGCAGTAATGACAAGAAAGAAAAATGTATTGTGGCCTCATAAGAAATATCAAGAGTCTTCATAAAATATTCTGGTTCGATGTCATAAAACAGTGTTCTCCTAATTCAAACTGTCACATACCAATTTCAGGTCACTCAGACTGGCGCACTTTAAACCTTATAACGTACACATATATAATGAAGGTGATAACTGCAGAATAATACATTGAGTGAGTGAGTTTAGTTCTAAGCCGCACTCTGCAATATTCCAGCTATATGGCGGTGGTCTGTAAATAATCGAGTGTGGAACAGGCAATCCAGTGATCAACAGCATGAGCATCCATCTGCGCAATTGGGAACCAATGACATGTGCCAACCAAGTTTGCGAGCCTCACCACCCAATCCTGTTAGTCGCCTCTTACCACAAGCATGGATTATGTGTGTGGGATGTGGAGAGGCCAGGTTCATGGGAGTGGGATGATCAAAAGTAATACTTTGGTTTGGCCTTATCCAGAAGGATATTAGTGTTTGCTGTACTGAGTCGGTGTGTGTTTGCACAATTTATGTAATTCTAGTAAAATCTAGATATTTGTTATATTTGTATACTTATCCTGCATTACTCCTTAATGCATTTACTGCTTTCCCTTGACAAGACGAACCTGTGCTGTGCGAACAAGCATGGGTTACTGAAGGTTCATTCTAACCCAGACCTTCACGGGTACAGAATAATGTAACTGATATATTAGATGTAAATCTGTTAATCACTTATCACCAAATGCCCATTCTAAACCTGATATTTATGAATTATTAGCAATTGAACTTAAATATTAAGAAATACAATTTTATTTCACCTAAAGTTTGAGACCATAGAAAAAAGTCCAAAAATGAAAATATTGTTAGTAAAATATCCTAAACATTCTTATCAAATAAATAGATCTTCTTAAATAAAGTAAGCCTGTTTTACAATGCGGTCTATTGATGTCTGAACTGAAACTCCGATGCTTCACGGTGTCTATCAATGAAAATCTTTTAAAAAATTGGAATTACAGTTTCTGTTTAAATATGTAAGTATATTTCAGGAACAGTTCAAGTTATTGACAGTAAATAGTATACAATGCTCAAGTCATACTTACCCTGTGCAGGGTTTTACATAGCTCTTCTAAACTGGGAGTCCTGGGGACCCAGGGCATATTTTGGGGGGAGTCCATTTCCAAAACTGGGAGTCCATCAATCTCATATCTGCATGAAATCAATGACCATGCCGATGCTTCCCATTTGATAATGATTATGTTATAATATAGTTACTTTCAATGTCATTAGAATAATGATTGGAAACAGAATGTTTATATCTGAACAGCACTGACAATAAACATACAGTACCGAAATGTGATGTGGTGTTATCTCTTATTGCTATATAATATTGATTTAAATATGAATGACATTGAACTATAACATAACAAGACAATAGAAACTGACTGTGACAATACTTTAACCCATTCAAAACCGTAGGCCGGAAAGCCGGCCAAGACATCATGAGTCCCCAGACATCGCAGGCCGGTAAACCGGCCAGGCAGTAGTCGCATCAAAATGATCTATAATTTTAGGAACCTAACTAATGATTCTTTTATCAAATCTATCACATTCACAATGTCTGAAAATACTTATTAAATTTCAAATGACCATATTATCGACAGGATTAGAATTATGAACTATTTTTCGCAATGTTATTGAAAAGAAACAATTCTCGGACACATGCTTCGGCAACAGGTCCACACCAAAGTTGTCAAAGAGCAGAGTAACGATGTTTCGAGAAAAATAATCATACAAATTGAATAAACTGATGAATAAAATCAACAACAGTACTCATAAAAGTTGTCAAACGTATATTAGAACTTACTATTTCCATCTTTTTTGAGCGATCGTGAAATGTAATTGAAGTGACATCTCAGCTTTCTTCGCCTCGAACTTTACGCTTCCGACACGATGTTTAATGCTAAAACATGACCGAGCTCGACATGTCCACTAAGTTTCATAATATATGTATAGATGGTGATTGTTTGCGTAACACGTTCTGAATAGAGGGATTTTACCCAAAACTTTCATCCAAACCTATAAGTTTTCGTTTACGAGCACGGTATCCATTGCTGTAATATGATTGGCTGCCTTAGGTCACATGCACAATTGTGACCAGTCACGATCCTTATAGCAAACTCTGGGAAATAAGCGTCATTAGAAACCAACCTTTATCCAATAAAATCGCTTCTTACAACTGCGAAAATACGCTTGGCAAAGTTACAATAATATTGTTTATGTTCAGAGCTCTCGAACGATACCCGCCATCAAACGAATCGCCTCACATGTTATTCATACAAAGCTTTGAAAACTGAGGTATTTCCCGCTGTTGCATCACGTTAGCGAGCGGAAAGCCACTGATATCGGGAAATAGACGACCATACATATTATTTGAGAAATCTTTTTAAAAATAATTTTCAAATATTGCGTCCATAAGGACGCACTGGATTTTCGTTTGGGGGTCCTTCCATCAAATTTCTGCGTCCAGTACACAGGAATCCCGCGTCCCGTAAAACCCTGCCTGTGATCGGAAAAGCACCATTGCATCATAGGTGACATCAAACAATCTTTCAAAACCGGAATCATCAGTCTTGAAAGATTTTGCTACTGTGTTTTTTCATGCAAAACACACTTGTTTTTCGAAGTATCACACAATATAAAACCTCATCAGGCTGGCAGTCAGTCACTGTGGATGACTTCTTTGATGGGCATTTAAGAGTGAATGAGTGAGTTAATATTTAACGTCACATCGGCAATATTGCAGCCATATCGTGACGAAAACAAGCCATGCAATAGAAAGTAGAAACATTTTTAAGATTAAAACCTGTCGACGATGGACAGTAAAAAGACTAGAGAATCACAGTTATAAATATAAAACTAGCGCAAAGTTAAAATATTCCAATTAAAGAAGACAATACAATATAAAATACGGGCTATGCCCTGTTGAAATTATGATGAATTCTTCACGAACTAATCATGAAGAGTTCATGAACATTGTTCATGAACACTTCATGAAAAAAATTCGTGAACATTAAGTGAGAATTTTACTTCACGAAGAATACTTCGTGAAGTGTTCATGAAGTATGTTTCATGAAGAGTTCATGAAGAGTTCATGAAGTTCTATCCGTGAAAACATCATGAACTCTGTGATGCGTTCATGAACTCTTCATGAACATCATAAGTTTTAAATCTGTAATAAAAGATTGTGTTCGTGAAGAGTTTGTGAACTCTTCATGAACAAATCACTTTTTCTCAGAAATCTCAAAATTTAACATGTACATTGAAATTTTCCGTTTAATCTAATAATGAACAAGTTAATTGATGATACAAAACCCAACTTCTTCAATATATTTTATTCTTATAGACAGATGTCTTTTTTAATACACTTTCAAACAGGTTCTAAATAACAGATTCATTTTGTCATTTTTTGTTTTTGTCGGAGTTGTTTCTGCACATTCTGCAGCTTCTCCACAATCGCCTTGTGGGTCACAGAACCCAAATGGTGAAAAGCGGCCTGCTCTAACATCCTATATTTTGCCACATTCAGGGCTGAACGCGTTTCTGTCGAGTTGGCAGACCGCTTTCCACTCACAGAACAATCGCACAACTCCTGTTCTGTAAAAACACTCATGGCCAGCTTCTTCACAGTGCCATACACATTGTCTTTTGCAACATGTTTCAAGCTGTTTCCACACTGAATGGAAGGCATTCAGCAGGAGAAGTGTGATTGCTCTGTTGTGTTTGGCTAGGTTCTCTGACCAAACACAAGGCTGATTGGTGGGAATCTGATGGTGGGGGAACAGGAGCAGCTGGTGATGACTGTGATGACTGGGGAGCTTGATGGAGCATTTTTTCTAGTCTTTCAACCCTTTTCTTCAGGGATGAAATACTGTCGCACCTAAGAGAAAAGTCATACCAGTTATATTCAAACTGGCCTTCAGTTACATGTAAGGAAATAAATATGCACAATGAAAAGTTTGAAATGTAAACAGAATGTTGGACATACAATTTCAGATCTGAATATCTAACATATCATCTTGTCTTGTTAAGTACTGTAGCAAATTGCACAATTGGTGTGAAACTTTAAAATTGCAGAGTCTTTCCAAAAAGTTGTCACTTCATCTATATTATACACTCACCGACACTTGTGGCGACAGTGACGGCAGGTTCGACTGCTCCTGCTCCTGGGGCTTGTGATATGCTCTGCAACATGAGCATGAATAGTTAGAACCAGGACATTGTTTAGACACAGGATATATGTTCAATATTATGAATCCCAAAGCACTACTAGTTGGCTAAAGTCAATGAACTGTTCATATGTTCCCCTAAACTTATATTGTCTACATGTAATAAATACATGTATCAGAATACAAAATTCAACTTTGCTTTAATAACAGTTGTACATCTGAAAGACTCCAAGGTATGTTTGCAGAATGTCATTGAATAATTTTAAGTGTCAGTGGGAACTCAGACACACTCAGTTCCAGACACATGATAACGTAGTATTTTCAACTGAAAGACAAAATGAACCCTGGTACATGTTCACTTTTGTGGTAAAGAATCTGAAAATTGTTCAAATTGATAATTTATCAACAGCAATCTCTGATAATTCTCTTATGATTACTTTTATATACAAGGTCAATCTCATTAAAATCAGATCTTGCACTCTTATACTCTGTCCTAGAATGGATTAATGCAAGGTATCAGAGTGGACTATGTTATTTTAATGATATTGATAAGAGATAGCACCAAGTATAAACTGTTTCCAATATTCAACATTTAAACTATTGAATTCTTTTGTTGAGGCATTCTTTTCCCACAGATGTTACTCATGTCATATCTTCCTATGTAACCTCTGTTCTAATACAGCCTTTTCATGGTGCGAGTATTCTGGATTGTTATTGGTTGAAATCAGATTTAGTTGTGCAATCAGCGATCTCGTTTCGAAAGTGACCATTCACAAAGCCTTGGTAATTCCCGTATGCTTCTGAAAAAAATAAAACCTTTTCACCTGCACGATGCCCACACATTTCCTTTACACAAAACACGGTCCGGTTATGGTGTCTCCATCACCCTTGTTGACAAGGGGACACGCTAGCCATTAAATGTCTTGTGTGTCATATCAACAAAAACTCTTGTCAGTTGATTCCTGCATTCTGTATCACTACTTTCTTATCTTAAGTAAAACATGAAATACCGAATCTATCCTTTGAATGTTGATCAATGGCGACCGCAATATTGGATCTTATGAAGTCGATGTAACACGTGTTCTGATTTGGTAGAAAGAAGGGTGATTAATTTGTATTGCGATTTCTTGCTGCTAGGGGATTTCACGAGAACTGTACGAGATCAAGAACCAGAAAATGTGGCTGTACTAGAACAAAGGTTACATAGGAAGATATGACAGGAGTAACTTCTGTGAGAAGAGAATGTTGTTAAGGAACATTTGATACATATCTTTTGATAAATTGGCATAGGTAACTGGTCCCATTTACTGGTATCCAAATGCAAGTTGAGCAGTGCACAATTCACAATAGGTGCAGTGGACAGAATGGCTGACTGTGGCACTAAATTTTGAGAGGTAAGGAAGGCACCCGCATGAGCAATTCATGACATCTGTGATTAAATGCACTGTTGGATTGATTAAGCTACCTTATCCAATAAGGAGATGGGATTTGGAGATGGGAGCAAGGGCACTGGTTGGCTTGAACTCTTTTGACTTCCGTCTCCTGCTCTCACTGGCACTAGAAAAGGTAACAGTTTACTGCATAAACATTGACAACAATAAACAGGACACATGGAAAGAAATTAGCACTTGATTGCTGAGTTTTTCTAAGTGTAATAGGCATCCTACATAGAGTTCAGGTGACTGAGAAGAAAAAAGTTTCTGATGACTGCCAACAAATTCTACACATAAATTACAAAGCAGACCCTTGGATAATTGATCCTCTCATGTTCTACAATTTTCAGATTTTTTAACAAATTTCTTCGCTTTTCCAAGGAAGCAAGTTTGATTTGGAAACAAAAGGAGTTGAATTTTAAATGTTTTACTTATTTGCTATTATTACTCAAGGACATAGAATCTGACTTTGATGTTAAATTTTAACATAAATATACAGATCATCGAAAGTGCAGATATGAAAATTCTGCAAACAAAAATGCAACATCTCCAAGTGTTGACTTCAAGTTAAGCATGCACTTAAACACAACACAATCCCAAACACTAGATAAAACACTGTACTATCTACCATCACTGGCTGCAGTGGGATTTGGAGATGGGAGCAAGGGCACTGGTTGGCTTGAATTCTTTTGACTTCCATCTCCTGCTCTCACTGGCACTAAAAAAGGTAACAGTTTACTGCATAAACATTGATAACAAATAAAAGGACACTGGGAAAGAAATAAGCACTTGATTGCTGAGTTTTTCTAAGTGTAATAGGCATCCTACATAGAGTTCAGGTGACTGAGAAGAAAAAAGTTTCTGATGACTGCCAACAAATTCTAACATAAATTACAAAGCAGACCCTTGGATCATTGAGAACACATTCCTCTCACGTTTAATAATTTTCAGATTTTTAAACAATTTTTTTTGCTTTTCCAAGGAAGCAAGTTTGATTTGAAAACAAAAGGATTTCAATTTTAATTATCTTGCCTCGCACATAAATGTCGTTTTCTGATTGACTCTTCTGTTATTTTCAGTGTATCTCCGCTTACACGAGAGTAACATTTTCTATGTACCCCGCTGGGAATGACGAACTCATTTGGTACTTTGTGGTAGTAATTCTTTATCTCGAATAACATTTAATCACACGTATGATGTATGGAAATTACGGATGTTTTGCGAATGCAAATCCATGGAGTGGAGATAAGTCTAAATTTGTTTTTCTTGTCGCCTGGTACTCCATACTATGATCCGACACACCGGTTTCAAAGATTTCAAAATTACCATGGAGGTGTTTGGTAAAATAAATACGTTGTTTACTGGTCCCTTGGGGCCCATGGGCTGATGTACCCTCGATGTTTCTTTATGTTCCCCTTGCCCTTCATGCTCAGGGTACATAAACAAACATCAAGGGTTCATTTTAAACACTAGATAAACAATAATGTAATATCTACCATCACTGGCTGCAGTGGGATTTAGAGATGGGAGCAAGGGCACTGGTTGGCTTGAATTCTTTTGACTTCCATCTCCTGCTCTCACTGGCACTAGAAAAGGTAACAGTTTACTGCATAAACATTGATAACAAATAACAGGACACATGGAAAGAAATTAGCACGTGATTGCTCAATTTTTCTTAATGTAAAAAGTATCATTCAGTTGAGTGAGAAAGTGCCATAAGTTCTTAGTTCTCTATATTAATTATTTGGGCATATGAAAAAACAGTTCAGTTTTTCATTCTAGATTGTGATTCTAGTTTCACAAAGATTCTGTTTCAGAATTGGAAGAGTTCCCTGAATAAAATGAAGAATGTAATTTGCAGCATGAACAAGGGCTCTATGACAAAAGTAGTATTCCTGTATTATTGACAGTTTATACCTTCATTGTCTTTATCCTGCACAGTTGTGACTGATGTTGATGCTGCTTGAGGCACCAGGGATAAGGAATCATCTTCGATCACTGAATGCAAAGAGACACACTGAATATACATTTTAATGGTTTCTTTATACATGATCAAATGGTATATTAGACAAGACTTTAAGACAAAATATAAAAAAAAAAGATCTGTCCACAATTTTGTTCAGCAACTTCACATATATCGGCTGTGCAATACCTTCAGATCCACTGACTACCCATACTACATCTCGATATTAGGTGGCATTTTCATGTTCAATCTCTTGGGCAATCAAACATATTCACACATTCACACAAACTGTCATGTGGCACTTTGGTCTAAATGAGCTCCTGAAAAGTACCACTTCTGAAAAAGTGGCCATGTGATAAGATTTATTTATTATTAATCATATTATTCATATTATTATTTGTTTAAAGTACCTTTCTTTCGAGAGCTCTTTTAAATGGGTCCTAGTCAAAATAGCCACAAACCCCTAGTCAAGATGGCCATACATTATTTATTTTTTTTTTTAATACTTGTAACATTTTCCCATGCTGTATTATTTGATATCAAGGGGTAAAAAGGGCCAGAAGTTCCAAAGGGTTCAGATTTCCGTCCTTGTAGAGATTACGGGTGGCTGACTTTCATGTGAACTTTCGCAGCTTGTCGTCATGGAGGAGTCTGGTGTGTATGTCAACCCGGCGTGCCTCCTTGGGAAGGGCTTGTGATATCCAGTAAAGTTCTTTCCAGCATTATATAGTTAAGTATCATGAGTTAAGTCAAGTGACATAAGTCCATTACTTAATCATGTTATCAAAACACTAACCAAAGATCAAAGGGGCTTGAAATAACATCCTTAAGTTTTAATGAAGAAAATATTGCGAGAGTAATTAAACAGCTCAAATTATTACAAAAGAAAACATCTCAAGTACAGGATAAAAAAAACCATCTAAAAATGTAAAACAAGTAACAACCTCAAAGTATCAATTGAGAAAGCATTTCAAGAACACAACTCATCAATATGAAAAAAATAATGTATTGGGCATTTTGACTTTTTGGTACGGCCATCTTGACTAGGTGTTGTGGCCATTTTCACTTTTTGTCTGTGGACATTTTGACTAGGGTCAGTGTGGCAATTTTTCCATGTGGCTTAATGACCTGTTCCCTTTAAAACAAGTTGCTACATGCCATATTTTCATCTCTAGTCACAGTCTCCGGCTTAAATTGTTAGCTAAGCTTCAACAAAAATTATCAACAATTTAAATAACTTAAGATACAAATACACATATCCCATCAACAATTTAAATAACTTAAGATACAAATACACATATCCCCTCACACAATCTCATGATGAAACAAATCTTGACTTTAAATGCCAATGATTTCACTCAGGATGAAACATATTAATAATTTATACCTTTGTCACTGGGCAAGTTACAGTTCACATCCATTTTCTTCATGACTTCATCTGGGGATAAACTAGAGTTCATCAGATGACCTTCAAGCAGTGCACCTTCTTTCCTAAGAATTTCCCTTGTTGCTGTGGAAATATTAAGATCATGATAATGTGTTTATCAAACTAGATCAAATACCATCATCGGGTAGTGGCTGAAACTGAAAACTTGACTCAAATGAATTATATTATCTCTTTACGCCTGGCCAAATTAATCACTTGTTTTACAGAAAATATATTTGAGAAAGTCTAGATGCAAGCGAGGGGGGGATTTTTTTTCCCCAAGGTTAGTCATTGATAATTTCTTATCACTTAAAATTCTTTATTCAAACACTTGTACATGACCATTTTTTGGCTTTTAAGACATTCTCTTAACACTAGTGTAGACTTTCTTGTTTTAAATTGGGGTAAATGACCAAGCCAGAGTTTGAGAAAAACTTGTCAATGAAGATGTGGGTTGCACATTTAAAAAAAATAATAATAAGGGATCATAAAACATGAAATAAAGTTGGTCAAGCCTAAAAATAATATTGATATTGAATATCAAAGTGATGATCATTAGCTTTTAATATTAGGCACTCAAATATTATATTATTCCCAAAATGAACATAAATTTGTGTCTTCAAAATCTATCTTCAAATTATTCAGTAGATCTGTGGCATTCAATTGTTTATATCATACCAATGTTTGCCTAATGTAAAATCTTTGGAGATTTTCGTGAAAACAAACATGTTACCTCTGCAAATGTCTGATTTCTGATCCTGCTTTAAGTTCGTAAATTTTAAATAATAGTTTCATGCTAATGTAGATAACTAGATGACTCAGCAAAATATACTTAGTACCATATATATCATATTTACTATATCATTGAACAATTTCAGGAGACAAATATGAAATCAAACATTTTCATTTACAATACATTCACATATATTTAAATTCATGATGTAATGTTATAGACCACACTTATGATATAAACAAAGGAGAAGTCTGCAGGTATAAGGGCCCACTAAAATTAGTCAAATTTCAGAACATTTAGTGCTATTTTCAACATATTATTGTTAATATTAACATGAAAACAGATAAACTTGACTCAATGTATGCCTCTGGTTGGAATTGAATAGATTTCAAGAATTATCAACATGTCAAATCAATTATAATTTACTGTGATCATTTTCATTCACCAAAAAATCTACATTTGTGGCCAAATTTAAAAAAAATGTGATTCCGATTACACGTGTATAAAAATTGTGGGTAGGTAGGTCGGATTTTATTTTATTTTTAGAAGTCTACATGTTTTAGAAGTAAACTCTTTATTCAATCAAGCTTAATTTAGACCTTCATGTCAACTTTCTCTATCAGAATGACCAATGTCCGTCGGTGCCAGGGAAAAAAATGATATCCGAAATCTTAGTGTATTCATAGCACTTAAAGAAAACAGGGTCGGCACCATAATATTCAAGTGACGGTCGGGTCAGAACCACAACATTTTTTGCACGCCTGACTAAAAAACAGTATCATTTGGACCCGCTTTCCAAAGTGACTACTACTAATTATAAGCCGCCATTAACGCCATTTTTTAAGTGAGCACATGTGTCTGCTAAAATCACATAGCTGTACTGACAAGACAATAACGGTACACCTACCAGCAACTCTTACTTAATTTACAGCAGGATACTTCTTCCCCTGAAATTTCGCTTTCACGAGATCGCCAAAGTAAATATCTCGCCTCGGCTTCATTATTGTGGACGTGGATTGAATGCTCCAATTCCTCTCACGGAAGAACCAGAACAAAAGGCAGAAGTTAGTGCTATCACTGTATTCAGCTGAAATTTCCATGTTGTTAACGGTATTTACTGAATAAACTCAGAGAAAAAACAAAGTTTAAAATGTCTGACCGCTTCTTCGAGACATCACAATAGGCGCGCCTTTAGATCCAGCCAATAGGAATTGGTCTTTCTGGTACCAAAATTGCAGCCAATGACATGGCGCCGGAAGAATGGCAGCATGGGGCCTTTTTTCACAAAGTGTACCTAATTTATTTTACCTTTAATGTTAACAAGCTTTACAGTTAAGTATGATTCTTTATGCTACTATCAGTCGCCATTTTAAGATTCCCGAGATTTCTGTCTTCGCCGATGTGTTATGGTAACAACTCAGGGGCGAGCGTGACTAGACTGAATGAATGACAGGTTTATTCGCGGTGTATAAATTTTTGTGCGAAAATAAAACCTGCGCGAAATATAATACGTTTACAGTATATCTGAAACCTTATGTTCAATAGTTCTTTGAAAAGCGAAAATAGGCCGTGTTAATGTCAATCGCATGTTGAAATGCAGCAGGGCACATACACTGCTCAAGACCCTTCGTGAAATAGACACTTTTTATCTAACTATTTATTTATTTATAAACAGATATCATGAAACGATCCAATAACCTCCACGACACCTTTTATGATTACACTTAAAGCTTAGATGCAACCAAAACATAATTAAAACATAATTAAAACACAGTTATCATTTACAGTACTCATGTATTCATGACATCTAATATATACATTGCTGATTATGAAAAAACAAATAAACAAAATTATAAGCGTACAATCGCAAATCAAAAGTGCAACATTGTGTACTTGGATTGTACTTCCTCGAAGGAAAGCACCCAGCTGGGTGAAAGTAGTGAATCGCTTGAACCCGATTTCGTAATTTATATGTTGTATTTGCATTTTGGATAATTTGTCACTGTAAGTCCATACCGAAAATTATCAGAATCTGCAAAGTTGTGTTTTATGCTGCATGGGACGCAAGTTTCCTGCATAACTTGATTCTATGATTACTCAGATCTGACGAGATTTTTAATACATACATGTAATTGATAATTCGAAGATCCCAAACTTTGACGCCGCCAAAGTACAGTCATACAGTACAAAGCGGAACTAATGAAAATTATTACATCTACACTAACATAACATGCAAGTCTATGAGAATTTTGCCGACTGACGAATACTTATGTCCAATGACTGTACATTTGCTAGAAAACAAGATGAAAACAAAGTATCGCCTCAACATTTCAAAAGGGATAAACACCGTGACCACCACCTTTTCCTCGTCTCTTCCCTGATACCTGTGAAGGTCCGGTTAGGATGTGCCTTCCTAAACCCATGTTTGTCGTAAGAGGCTTACTTACGGATCGGTGGTCAGGCCCGCTGACTTGGTAGACACATGTCATCGGTTCCCATTTGCGCAGATCGATGCTCATGCTGTTGATCACTAGATTGTCTGGTCCAGAATCGATTATTTACAGACCGCCGCCATATGGCTGGAACATTGCTGAGTGCGGTGTAAAACTAAACTCACTAACACACTCTCACTCTTCCCTGATACGCATCCTCTTCCATAAATGCACGCCGAAATACTATATTTTTGTGCAATGTCCGCTGAACTGTAATGCGGCAAGAACATTAACGCCTCTCCCTCATTATACAGGAAAGAAATATTCCTCAAAACACTGTTTTTGCTTAACAGTACGACTTAACTTCCTAGCTTTCGGGTGATTTTGGATGGTCGCCTACTTCTTCGTCTATTATCAACATTTCCTGTATCCACATTTTTTTTCACATGTAAGAACATGTAGTTTCAGGAACCTCTAATTAACAGTCTCGATATCTCTACAAATCGTTTTCCTTTCAGTTTTTCACATCATTTGTCAGCTCTGACGACGTATACCAAGTTGATAACAGACAGACAGACAGACAGAGTTTATGAGGCCATGAGGCTGAGAGAACATGGCAGTACAGACTCTTTAGTGGCTGGAGCTTTTGGTTATACATTTCATGTAGTCGCTTTTGCAAAGATTCATAAGTATATAAATACATGAATATACACAATGAATAATAATATATAGTTAGTAATGTTTAAACATCTTGAGTAGCAATTTAGACTTGGTGCATAAACCTGGGGGTAGACAAATACATAGCATAATATTGTAACGTATATACAAAGTCGCACGGTAGGGATTGAACTTAGGTCTCTCTATAGTCTCAAATATCTTTGTCAAAAAAATTGCTAAACACATGGTAATTTTTTCATTTTTGTTGGCTAGTAGTCCTATAAACTTAATGAAAGATGGGTGCTTTGTATAATATTCTGGTAGATCCTTTTGTCTGCTCTCCTCATACCTAGGGCATACAAGGAGGACATGGAAGTCGTGTTCATTTGTGTTTCTACAGAACGGGCTAAGCGATCCATCAGGGTGAGGGCTTTTAGCCCGCCGGGAATTTTTAATACAGAAATTATTAGCATTATATCTGAACTTTGAAAGTGCTCCACGGAGCTTATGACATTTCAGGGATTCAATGTAAAATTCCATTTTATTGTCGGTCTTAATGTTTGCGCAAGTATATACATACAGTAGGAGCTTGACCAGTCGCTGGACCAATCCTGACTATATATATCACGACATCTCTGTTTAAATATTTGCAAGAATACTTTATCATTATGTATATCCCGCGGTAAGCCCCTTCAGGGGTTCGACACCCCATTTCTGGAAATGATTTAGGGTCACATTGAAGAATGTTTTTTTGGCGCTGGCTGAGCCAATGGGGGCTCAGAACCCCTCCTTTCAAAAATTCCTGGATCCGTCCCAAGCTGTATTACGTCACAGCTCTACCAGTGTTGGTAACGCTTTCATCTGAAGGCCGCGATCAAAGTCATACACAACGCATTGTGAACTCGGCGCCGACGCAGAAGCTCGCGAAGAATCACGGAAGCCACGCTCGCTTACATTTCCGCCAAGGATGGATTCGGGCGGAAGTTCAGCAAGCATGGCCTCCTCGAAAGACGGCAAATTTCGCTGCATTGGTAATGGCAAATTTGAATGTCTTCTTTGTTACCGACACTTCGCAGATCGAAACAGAATGTTTTGAAACATCTTCACGTTCAACACGGACTAAGCAAGTACATTTTTCATTTTAAATGTAGAAGATTGGTAGAGCCCCGTCACAAAACCCAGTTAGAAATATGTCTTGTTAACTCATTTAATTTTACAGATCAAATTTGAAGTCTCACTGGTGCTAAGTGCTGATATCCCCGTCTCTTTGTACTGTAATCACATATGTGATTACAGATATGAAGTATAGAATCTATATGGATTCAAAACCATGGAGATATGTAGTGTGGTATTGTTTGCCAAAAGTAACATGCATGTAAAGAAAATCTTATTCATTAGTGCATACATTTTTTGAAAAATCCAAATAATAAGAAACCGAGGTCATAATTGATAAATTCATAAGAGAGAGAAACTGAATAATCTGAACGAAAACATGTTATCACAGTTTCAATGTCATAGCCGGTCAGATTTTACTGTGCGCACTATCGATCCGTCGCAATACATGAAATCTATCAGTGTTTTGATAAATAAAAGTCATATTCAAATTATTGTATGTATATATATGATTTCACGTTGAAATAGCTAGATTTTAACT